GCTGAGCTGAGGATGACCATGTCCAGCTGGAATGATTAACGCACATATGTCACCAAGCAATTCATGGTTCATCATTTAGATGCAGGTTTAACCAGGAACAAACAGGTATTTGATTAGAATTCATGGGGATGTAATAAGATAATGAAACATGGCTGGGAGATCCCCGAGCTACATGGTTGGTTAAAATGGGCACATCATCAAGCTAAATGGGGTGTTTTCCGGCAAACCATGTTTGATTACCAGAGGATAAAGGGTCAATATACATATCCTTAATAGTGTAGTTGTTATTTTTTGGGTATATAGACGGTTAATTATATAGCTGTTTTTGGTTTATCATGAGTATTGTTCTGCATGATCATTTATCATTTTTTGTTGTTCATGTTATAGCGGTTGTTACTATTTATTATTACTACTATATATTTTGCAAGGATTATTGTTTCTATTCATCGTTTTCATCATCTAAATTGTACTATAAACCATCCCGAGGAGGGACGTGCCCAATTTCATAAACCACAAAGAAAAAGGCATTGGGTGGCTTTTGATTGGCACCACATGAGTTGTGTTCCAAAGTTTGATTGACCGCACTTGTGGTTTGTTGGAGTCCATGGAGCATTTGCCGCACTGCGCGCCATGTATCACCTTGCTAGCGAATAAATTCGAGAAAACCGTCATCAAAGATGTTGACGGTGCTTTTCAGCGACGACATCAGGCAATCTGACAGTGCTAGAAAATGCTGGAGGTCTATGGGGATCTATGCTACCAACAATCATGGCAATTTCACCAGCAGGAGGTGTACACATACACAAATCACACACACACACACATTTTCTGCATATGTTTTGTAATATATTACTATTATATATATATATATACACATAAGTTTACATAAGTATATATATATAGACATTATACAACAGAAATTGTATGACTGCGTTGCTGGCTGTTTTTGGGGTGGCAAAAAAACATATTGACACAAGTTGGTGCCCATCTGAAAATCGTCGCATGCGCATCTCAGATGATATGTAGCTTCGGTGGTGCCCTACAGTTGTAAATGGTGATCCTGCAAAAATGCGGGCTTAACCAAGACAAATTGGACTTATAGCCGATATAATATGATATATGTTGGCTAGTTTCTATTTCCTTGGTTTATACACTCCATTAACCAGTTCGAATCTCCACAAACCCAACACTTCTACTTTTATACCAAACATAAACCACCTTCGTGATTTAGCTCGCTGGGGCACCAATTCAGAGATGCAGCAGTTCGCAGTTTGGACCCACCACGCGGAAGAAGAAGCCGAGCGCATCAGGTGTCAGGGTTCAGCCCAGGTATGTCCAGGTAGGTGTAGACACCAACAGAATCCACAGATATTAATTACCCTCTTGTAATTTATCATAGCTATGGAAAATGGCGCATTTGTCTATTCAAACTGGTGATTTTCAATGGCTATGGCAGCTATGGTAAATCTGCCAGAGGATATAGTCATTCGTTTTTGGCAGCTCAATAGCTTTCCGGGAATGCTGGTGATGGACGTCTGATTTTCTTGGTGGAACCCATGCCTAACTTTAAACAGTTATCCCTGGGAAGCGATGCTCTCAGATATGGTGCACCGGTGAACCCTTGGCTTGCCACTGTGGATGGAGATTGCCCCTTTTCTGCCCCACGTTTGGTTGGCTTAAAGTCGCTGTTCTTGTGGAATTATCTGGTGCTGCCACATTTGAGTGGCATAACACCTGGAATTTGCTAAAGGAGGGATTTCCCCTGCTTAACTCAGCATTTGCGGAATCCCATTCGGATTTTTGACGTGCCAGCGGGCTGGGTGGTTTAAAACGCGTTTTGGTTGACTGTTGGTTGAATAAGTTTAAACGGTCGTGTCATCGCATGTACACTGTACACGCGGAATTTGGATCATTTGTGCACGCCGGTAGGGGAAAGCATGGCATGCCTTGCATTTGGTCACTCAGCCCGTGAGTAAGGACCTAGACCTAGAGGTGTCTGTGAGATGCAGAAGCAATGACAGATTGAAACCATGAGCAGGAATGAATGAGCAGGTAGTTGTTGAGATGGGAAGATTTGAGTTCATGTGAATAATTAGGGCTGAGAAATGCTGAGAAGAGCTGAGATTAGTTGATGTCACGTAGAGGAGCGAAAAAAGAGCAGAGAATACGTGATCTGAGCCGGAAAAAAGACATGAAAAGGGACAAGAAGAATTGAGATGGCAAGTCCCACCCCACCCCAATGTTCTTAGATGCGTGCTGTTAACATCCCACCCCACCCTAACCTAACCCCACCCTAACCCCACCCCACCCCACCCCGGATTTGACCTCTGCTAATCAAACGTGGCTGGTGTGAAAATCCCCGAACTAAATGGAGGTGTTACTAGGAAAACCATTTCCAAAAATGGAAGTCTTATGGGAGAATCTCTACAGATATAGGTTGTAATGGGGAAAGAAACATAATCATAAAAAAAACTGAAAAACGTAATCATAAAAAAACTGAAAATCATCTACTGTATAAATGATGGATTCACCAACAAATTTAGGGGACATTAGGGGACGAAGCTGCTGGACGCGCGAAAATTCAGGAGGGCCTTAGTGAACGCCGTGCCGCAGCCATCACCTCGGTGGGCTTGGCAGCAGTGGCTGCAGCGTAACTGGGCGGAGATTCATGGGATTGAAGGGGATAGTCGGATAGTCAACTTATATATATATATATATAAAAATATCAACTTTTTGTTTTTTTGTTGGGAGTTATTGAGTTGTTTCTTGATTTTTTGGAAGTTTTTTTTTGATTTTGGGGATTGTTTGCCGGCTGAGAGGAGTTTTGGACAGAAATGACGGAAGCGATCTCAAAAATGGGAACTCCCGAATTTACTTCGACCATTTCTACCGGGATCAGCTGGCGCTATGTTTCATGGCCCAGCCATGAAAACACGCGAGGCTTTGTGGCGCTTGGCATTTGGCTGTGGCCTTGGGCACTATCACCGGTGTGGGATGGTTCCTGGAGGAGTGTCATGGCGCCAGGATGGCAATTTTGTTTCGGGGAATGGCCGGAATGGCTATGAAAAACAGGCGGATTGCGATACAATTCCGAGACATTTGTAAAGATTCTAATTATCTAATTGGTGGACCAATGAATGAGATTACTGACAAAGCAGTGGATGGATTGAGGCACGATGGGTGCCTCTAAGGCAAACCCAACGATGGTTGTATGTCGAAACCTCGTAGCCGCGTAGCCCTGAGGAAATAAGCATCAATTGGGTGTATCTTTTAAATTGGGTGACCAAAACCATGGCTGCTTCAATCCTAGAAAGGTCTAATTTTGGATGATTTTTTGGGGCGTCCCCATTCGAACATATTCTAAGAAAGCCACATTCCATGGCTTCCCACATTTTTTTGTGGCCAGATCTAAGGCTGGAGGGGCAAGCGCAGAAGCATTTGCTTCAAGTCTCTTTGATCCTTGGATTCCTTGGATCTTCCTGTGCGGATCCAGCGCAGCAATCGGTAAATCTTCATGATGATGGTAGGTCAGATCATAGGCTAATCTGTCGCCATAAAGGAAGGCGTGTATATCATGTATCATATAGTATTCCATATCCCTTTAAATGTTTTTCCCTCAGGGCGTCGACTGTCTAGAGTTCCCTGGTACACGATGCACATCTGATACAATCCAGGGATAGACGTCATTTGGATTCATTTGGGAGATGGTTTGCATAGGTTCCAAGGGTGATTTGCACAAGCATGGCTTGGTTTGAACAGAACCACGGCTCTGGCATAGTTTCAGTATACGTAATTCATATTGTGTATTATCTGGTGGATAGGATGGAGCCAAGGAGCTACGAATTGAGATGAATTAACGACCTCACAACGACGAGCCTTCGTATGGTTTGGTTATGTTGAGTTCGCCCCGGAAAGAAGCATAGGTCAGGGAATCATCGCCCTTTAGATTGCTTTACCCAGAGTTTATAGGTTTCCAGTTTAGGATTTCAAATTTAAGCATCTCTAGTGATTCTAAGTTCAAAAAGATGCTAATCAAAACTTATCTGCACGCAAGATCCCCTAAATCCATATATAGTACCCCCGAAAAAGATGCAGAACATAGTAATTCATCCCACTCAAATTGTGATAACTCAAGGTAACCTTGAACAAGCCTTGAACTATCAAATACTATCAATATATATATATATATAATATATATATATATACGATCCCCACACTATAATATAGTCATTTAATGTCATTTTCATGTTATATCCAGTCATATCAGGCGAGTAAATATACGCGCAAACACCCCGATTCGCCCACACCCCTTCTATGCTGTACACTTGGGGATATCAAACGTTAGACTTTACATTCAATTGGGAAGATCAACCAGGGTATTTAGGGAATATAAATTTCCCACCCCCGTTAAACTTCTACATTCATTGAAGATCTTCAATAAGGGTTTATTTCTCCCACCCCCGTTAAACTTCTACATTCATTGAAGATCTTCAATAAGGGTTTAATTCTCCCACCCCCGTTAAACTTCTACATTCATTGAAGATCTTCAATAAGGGTTTAATTCTCCCACCCCCGTTAAACTTCTGCATTCATTGAAGATCTTAAATATGGGTTTAATTCTCCCACCCCCGTTAAACTTCTACATTCATTGAAGATCTTCAATAAGGGTCTGATGATGATGATGATGATGATGATGATGATGATGATGATGTGTAAGAGACTCGCACAGGTCCCTATGCGGTGCGTGCCGATATACAACATTAAGTTAGCCATGATGCAAAAAACTACAATTTTTACCACGTTTTCAGCACATACGAAGATGGCCGCCGACAAGCGCGGGCAAATCGAGGTGTTTGCCCGTAAATATACTACTATATACTACTATTATATTCCGTGCTATAAATCAATATGTACTACTGTAACATACAATATCGATTGATATATAGCAAGATCATCATTTGAGGGCTGACTCTCCATCCATTTGGTGATGCCGCGCCGCCATGGCGCAAAGCGACGTGGTCTGCCTCAACGTGGGCGGCGAGTGCTACTGGACCCTGCGAAAGACGCTGGAGCGGCTGGACAGCGAGGGGTGATCTATAGATTGACAGGGGCTTATAACACCTTAAGGACATACACTATAGACTATAGATTGACATTTTGGAAAACATGTTCGGCTCCTGTTCTAAGTGATACACTTAGAACATGTTCTGAGTCATACACTAAGAACAGAGAGGGCACATTTTGCGCGCAGAGGAAACGTGTTCTAAGTGTATAAACAAATGGAAAGCATTTTGTGTTTAAGTGTATGCCCTATACTATAGTGATTTATCCATTGATTGAACGGGATTGCCAGGGGTTTATCATGATTTATCCATTGATTGATAGGGATTGAGGGCTTATAGCGATTAGTGATTAGTTGATAGGGATTGATGGGGTTTAAAGTGATTTGTCCATTGATTGATAGGGCTTGAAATGGGATTTACAATGATTTATCCATTGATTTATAGGGGTTGACAGGGGTTTATAGTGATTGCCCATTGATTGATAGGGATTGATGGGGGTTTAAAGTGGTTTATCCATTGATTGATAGGGATTGACATTTGGTTTATAGTGATTTATCCATCGATTGAACGGGATTGACAGGGATTTCTGATTTATCATGATTTATCCATTGGTTGATAGGGATTGACAGGGTTTATAGTGATTTATGCATTGATTGATGGGGATTGAGACGGGCTTATAGTGATTCATCCATTGATTGATAGAGATTGACAGGGTTTATAGTGATTTATCCATTGAATGATAGGGTTTGAGAGGGGTTTATAGTGATTTACAGTATCCATTGATTGATAGGGATTGAGAGGGATTTATATTGATTTAAACCATTCATTGATTCACATTGACAGGGATTGAGAGGGGTTTATAGTGATTTATCCATTGATTGATAGGGATTGACATGGGGTTATATTTTTTGGGCATTGAGTGAAAGGGATTGGCGCGGGTTTATAGTGATTTATCCATTGATTGATGGGATTTATAGTGATTTATCGATTGATTGATAGGGATTGGCACGGGTTTATAGTGATTTATCCATTGATTGATGGGATTTATAGTGATTTACCATGATTCACCGATTGATTGATAGGGATTGACAGGGGTTTATAGTGGTTTATCCATTGATGTATAGTGATTTATATGGATTTTTGTGATTTTGTTCGTGGATCCATTTACCATCTGGTTATTTAACATAGCCATGGAAAATCACCATTTTTAATAGGTAAACCATCTATAAATGGGCCATTTTCCATGGCTATGTTAAATAACCAGAGGGTATATATAGTGATTAGGGCCGGCCCTGGGTCTGGGCGATGTCACCTGAGCCAAGGCAATATCCCAGCTCTGTCCTGGCCAAGATGCTTTCAGGTGCGAAAACTGGCTGGCTCCAGGTCCTGGGAGATGCCGGTGAGTTCACTGTTTCCTCGCTGAAAAACATGTTTAGTATATCTATTTAAGCCATATACCCGGAAAACAACATACGTATATGCACATTTATATTTATACACATTATATATATATATACATTATATATATATATACATTATATATATATATTATAAAAATATGATAGCCATATGCAAACAAAAATAACTAGTCATATTTTGTATTTGGTTGGGTATCTGAGGTTTGCCATGAAAATCCACCACAAACGCCACCGGTCGACGCGAGTAGGTCACAGAACCTCTAAAGATTTGGCTGCAACTAAGAAGTGGCATGGCTCTTTAACATACCCATGGAAAATAATCACTTTTAATAAGTACATAATCTATAGCTATGTTAAATAACCAGAGGGTGCATTTTTTTAAAGATAAAACAACAGGTAATATTTAGATATATTTAGCACTAATTATCTTCGTTCAGTTTTACCTTTCTGTCTGTGGGGTGCTGTAAACAATGGTCATTTTACATCACATCGCGGTCCTGGCGGGTGCCCCAGTCTGCTAAGTTGGTTTATAACACATTATAAAACTAAACTAACAAGGGGGTTATTCAATTATTCTGGTTATATTCTGGTTATATATAACCATAGGCAGTTGGGGTATACACCATCTTATGACTTTCATATTTGTGTGGAAGCACTGGGGCCATCAACCTGCAGTGTGATGCATGACAAGTTTGGATTGATAAATCACCCACATGAATGGATTTAGATTGAAGATTTCGCCAAGCAAGCTTAGAAACCAACTCCAAACAAAACCAAGCCATTGAAATATAGTTTGTACCATTGCAACTGTTGACACCTCATCTAGTTAGCCACTAAAACACCATTGAAATCTCATTAAAACATATTAAAACCCCATTCACACCAATTGAACCACCATTAAAACCAATTGACACCTGTTAAAACTTTAAAAACCCATTAAAAGAGCCATTGAAGCCAACAAGAACAGGAGAATTTCCGAGCAGCTGGGACCAGAACTCGCGTCTCTGCATCGACCGGGACGGGCGATGCTCGGCGACAGTGTGGCGATGGATTCCAATGGGATTCTAATGGGATTCTAATGGGATTCCATGTGCCACGCATGTGTTTTTTTAACCCAATAGACCATCCAGAAAAAGATCAGGGCGTCCTTTCAAATCAATCCCAAATAGAGGTATACCCAATAGCAACCACCAATTCGGGGTGGTTTATTATTGGGTTTAGCTCATTATTTAAGTCGGATTTTACTTTTCTTTTTTGTTGATTTTGTTGGGGGTGTAATATCGTGTAATTATCACCACCCCAGACAAACTTGGTTCAATCCTTTCGCTAATACTGGACATATTTTGGACAAATTGATGGTACATTGCAATTACAATTTTGGCTCATTAGTGGCAATGTGATAGTGTACCCCTAGGTGAAACCATGGTTTCCAGTATATGTCATTTTTCTTGGAAAATCAGCCCAGGTGAAATCCCTTTTTTCATGACTTAAACTTTAAGCTTCCCATTTTTAGAGGCTTTGCACAATCCAGTAAGAGAACACACTTCTATTAAACAACCCCATCTACAGTGCATTTCTATTAATGACCCACCAACTTTGACCCACACCCAATGGTTTTTTGTTTTCAACATCGAATTGGCAATCAAACCCCCATTAGAACACTGCAGCCCATTAGACTCCTTTTTTCAAAGCCATTCAAAACTTAAAACCCAGTTAACCATTAAAAAACCTCCGTTGAAACCCATCATGTCCCTCATTTCAAGCCCCATTTTTCAAACGTCCGACGTCGAGGCCTCTTCCGCCACGTCTTGAACTACCTCCGCGACGAGCGGCTCCCTCTGGGCCTCTCGCGGGCGGATCGGACCCTGCTGCTGCAGGAGGCAGTTTTTGATACATCGGAGATGGAGATGGAACAGGTTGGTTTAATCAAGGTTAATCATGAAAAATGATGGGTGAATATGGTTTGAATTGGTTTGATATCGTTTATATTTTTAAAAAAATATGGTTCAATATGGTTTAAAATCGGTTGAATATGGCTTAAATATGTTTAATGAAATGTAGCGGGAGATATAGGTGATATGAATGGGATTTTTTCGAGGTCCAGCAGCTCCACTGCAGATAAGCAAACCAAGCACTTTTAGTAAATTGGATAGGACATGAATGACATGAATCAATACAATCGTATACCGGATACTAGTCAATTAAGGTAGACATGAACAGACGCAAACCAATACACACACACACACGCCCATGCATGTATCTCTATTTTCATACATCTATTGTGCGAATGCATATACAGTATATATATATATATACATAGGCTGATCGCTTTGGAGCTTCAGCATGGCATTCTCTTGCCATAAATCAGTGGAAACTCGTGTTTCACCATGATGGATTTGCCGAAGAAAAATGGAAACTGTCGGCATTTTGGTGTAGGCCAAAATGTTCCGGATCTTGTGATCTGAATTTGGACGGTAGGCCAAGTACTACGGCTTGGACGAACTCCATGAAAGTCTTGGCGGTTTGCAGGTCCGGTTCCGGTGAAAAAGGGGGGGACGGTGTTTGGAACGATGTGATGAGTTGTCTGCTCCATGGTGCCCGCAAAAACATCAAAAAAACATCATCAAACATGTCAAGAGTATATATATATATGTATATGTGTAGATATATATATATATATATACACATTGAAAACATATTAATTAATTGATTTTAGGTTCTTGAGATTTGGCTCCTGGCATTATCTTTCAGCATCAGCCCACAAGCACTCGGCAGCACTGTGCAGGAGCCCTTACCACGACCTGCTCCGAAAGCCTTCACAGGCGAGTTAGATGGTTGAGCTTTTCAGGTCTGTATCTACCATCTAAAGATGGTTAATATTTATGTTATATATTATTATGGTTGATATATTCTGGTTAATATCTTCTACCATCTTTAATATGTTATTTATATTTTCATGTTTCAATATGTTTCATTCACCCAGATCAGATTCTTACTCCTTAAATCATCTTAAATCCTTCCCGGAATGTTTGCAAGGTAGGTTGGCCCGTCAGGTGAAAAGGGCGAATGATGGAAACTAAACATCAAGGGTTTCAGATGAAGGTCCCTGTATCTTGGTACCATGGATTGATCTTGGCCAGATCTTGGGTGAGCCAATGGTAGGCCCAGTGGTTTTCTCATGTTTTCTCGGGGTCACTTAGGGGTCCTGAGATCTTTCCCTATTTAGATTTATTTAGGGATTTCATGGGATTTCTTAAATTGCAGGTGCCCCTAAAGCCACTGCTTTCCCGGTTAAGAATGATGCATTTTGGATAATTTTGGTGTCCCTCCATTTCAAGAAATCCTCATTTGGTGATGAAGAAACTGCATGATGTCGCTCCGAGGGTCACGTCTAGGGTCCCGAAAACCAGCCCCGAAAAACAACCAGTTGTGTCGCAATTTTTGGAGATCTCCAATTTTTTTGGTTGTATCAAAACATCTCCCAGACTTTGAAGTCTCAAAAGATTCAAAAGTTCAAAATCATCCTGTTGTTTTTCCTTCCTTCTCTGGAGAAGTTGGTCATGTTTTTCCATCAGACACCTCCATTTTCTTGCGGCCATGTGGGCCACGTTTGATTTTTTTTCGCAAATACAAAGGTGAAAACCAACAGCGACCCGGTCACCCCACAGGTTTTGTTCCACGACCGCAGACACAGGAATTGGTGCACGAGGCGCGCTGCTCACGGGACGTGACCGCTGGTTTTCAACGAGGGTTGAAAGCCCAACGTGGCTGACTTGGATGTGTAAACGATGGTGGCCCTAGGGGAAACAAATTGTTAAATTCTTTGGGCCTGTGTAATGTATGACACAATATCCAGCATGCGGTTAGATCCGAAGATATTCGACGTCACTGATTGTAGATGACTTATTTGAACTATGATTGGGATATTTCACCATAGTTTCTGAGCAGTTACTGAGTGGACCTTTTTTTGGGGGGGCAAGCTTTGCTAAAGTGGTCAAAACACGTGAAAATTTGGATACCTGCTTGGTGGTTTCAACTATTCATGATGGCCCCAACGGGCACTACATACATTTTTTTTGGGTAGGCTCCACCCGAAAATGAACAGATCAGGCCCATCCAGAAGTTCCCAGAAACGCAACAAACCGGCTTCCGCGATTTTCTGGCACAGCTTTTCCCGAGTTTTCGCCGCCTTGTCGTGTGCGATGTTGGCCATTCGTTCGCCACAGAAGCCAACCCACAGGTGCCTGGTCAAACGACGTGTCTTTAACGTAATGGGGAAATACCGCGATTTATCAGTTTTGATCGGGAAAGTGATGACAAAGCAATGGATTTTGGGATATTTTGGGTGTTAACCGTAGTTACCATATTGGACACAGCCAAATCTGATTTGTGGTTTTGATTTTTGTTGACGAATTTGTGGTCCTATCCTGAAGCCTAAAGCATGGGATGATCATTTGAACTGAGGCCCAGGTGGCTGTACAGCTGCAGAGTGTGATGAACATTTCTTCCTTTCAACAGTTTCGTCGATCCGATATACATTGATATATATATATATAGATATGTATGCACATTAGGGCCATATTTTGGGAGGAAAAACCATGCTTTCCTATACTGATTTCCCTCAAATATCCATTGAAACAGAGATCCCCAGGATGGACTTTGCAGCCGTCGCTCCTCAGGAGCTCCTCCGGGCCTGGGGAAACCGAGGGGTTTCCCTAGGGGATCGCCTAAAAATCGCTGGATGTTTTTTTTTCATGGAAAATCCCACTAAAATCGATGATTTAGGGGTACCCCCATTTTAGGAACATATAATAACATCATATAACTTCATCTAACCGATGATTTGCTTGGTGGTTGGTTTGAAACTGTTTGAAACAACTTCGAATGTTCAAAACCATCTGACTCGGATGTTGATCCCCATTGAAGAGCATAGTTTTGTTTGGTGGCTTAGCCAGCAAGAGCCGTAGTGGGCATAACTCAACTGGGATGATGTCGATTTTGACCCCCAATGGATACTGGATCTGGTTTATTTCAGTGGATTTGCCACGTTAATTAGCGGCTTAGTTACTTAGAGCTTCCAAGAGGTATATATGTATATTGTGTATGTTTTTCGTATATTGGGACAAACTGGGATATCATAGGGATATTAGGAACCTTTCTATGATAATTTAATAATAGTATATCATGGGGTAAATATAGCCATGCATATTATATGGCTACACCCTGGTGAAAGGTAGATTCGTGCTTTTATCGTTTCCTATTATACAATGGGGATAAGTCGGATAAGTGAACCTAGCCAGCTAAACTTTGTGTCTTTCAATGGGAATTTCAGGATCCTAAAATGGAGGTACCGATTCCATATATAAGGCCTATTTTTCAGGCCTATGTAAGTGAATATCCCCACAGTTCATATGGTCTTTTTTTTTGGTACAGTCCTGTGGGAATGATTGGTGTGGGCTGTCGAAACGGTCAGTCCTCGATCTTTGTCGAAGGATTTCTCGGGTCCATCTGAGCCATGATGCACCACCGAAAATGGAAACACATGGCTTATTACATTTTATATCATTTTATTACACTTTATATCATTTTATTCCATTTTATATCATTTTATTACATTTTATTACACTTTATATCATTTTATTCCATTTTATTACATTTTATTACATTTTATTACATTTTATTACATTTTATTACACTTTATTGCATTTTATTACATGTCATTACATTTTATACCATTTTATTACATTTTATGTCATTTTATTACATCTTATTACACTCTATTACATTTTATTACATATTTTATTACATTTTATTACATTTTATTACATGTTATTACAGTCTAACAGCTGTACTCAAATTAGTCTTGAGAACTCTATTATTGTTGAATGTGTGGTGACTATCCTAATAGGATCTACCTTATCCCGATGTTCTACTGGCCAAATCCCGATTTTTCTTGGTGATTCACCAGTGTGTGTTGGTTGCAAAACCGCTGTAATGGTGATGGTGAATTCCACAACTCCTGGCAAAAAATCTGATCTTTGCAGCTTAAACCTGGTTTAGCTGGCTTGTTGAATCATGCTGATTCCCTTGATTTAGGTGTAATTGTGGGTTCCAGCAACCAATTTGTGCTGGTTTTATGTGTTCATTCTTGTGGGTAAAAACCGGAACTTCCAATTTTTCTTCCTCAAATTCCAAATTTTCGTTGCAGACATTGCTCTTTTCCGGTACGCCTCACAGCTCAGTTTCGCGGGGCAGGATATACACCTGCAGCTTCCTGGAAGCTTGGAAGCCGAGCAAGGAGCAGAAGCAGATGGCGCCTTGCCGAAAGCTGGGTCCTGCCGACCTGCCGAAAGGGGATGGAGATTTGATGAGATTTTTTCGCCAGGATTTTGGCTTTTAGGACCCACAAGTCGAACAGTTGTCATCAAAAATCGCCATCCCAGTGGAGTGTTCAAGGCCCCAAAGGCCATCAATGGACAACATCAAGATCCACAAGATTCCAAAAAGCCACCAGAACTTGGGTGAAGTGTTGTGGATCTATTCATGAATTGGGAAAAAACAACATTGGGAGCATGTAAGATGAAAAAGGGGGAGCTGGTTTTATTGCCATTTTGTAGCCATAACCACCATAAATGGTTATTAACCACCGACATTTTGTAGCATTTTGATGCATTTTTCTAGGTGGTTATTAGTGGTTATTCACCTACAGTTGCTGACTGACTGTCAACCGACCCATCGAAGCCGATTCCTGGAAACAGCCTCTAAATCATATAATGGTTATATGTAACTTATATAATTATGGTTATATAATGGTTAATGTTATATAATTATGTAGATGATGATTAACTTATCATATATTTTTCCAAAGATTGGCTAACGGTTAGTTAATACTTACGGCTCAGTTCTTCCATGTGAATCCAAGGATCACTTGATCGCAAGGGCCCGAAGCAAACCAACGGATGGCGCGGGGCGGAGCGGCGGAGCGGCGGAGCGGCGGAGCGGAGGGCGGCCCAAGGATGAGTCACCACTCTTTCACCATCTAGGCTATGGGGATTTTATGACTATATAGATGGATATCATGCCTCAAGATGGAACAAATTGATAGAACTTGGATGAAGGGAACATTTAAGCGGTTGAATCCCCTAGAATCCTTGGAGTTTGAATTCTGGAAAAGGCAACCAGTATGGTTTTCATGGTTGTACTCAAGCCAACCCGTTGAAAGATGCTTCAGTCATGAACATTTGTACAGGTCGGAGGCATCGCTGAAATTTTCCAGGGCAGTTTCTGTATCATGTGCCGACCAATGCTCTCCACCGTTCAATCTTCCAGCCATGTGGTGAAATGGAATAGCACTAGCATGAACATGCCGAAGCAGGAAATATGTCACAATAGCACTGCGATGTGCCTCCCACTTAGTAAGTGGGTAGTAATAACCATACGAAAACAGTACTGAGTTGTATTTGTGGGAGATATACCGCAGTCATTGGTAAGTTATGAAATTTATGAATCACAAGCTAGTTGGGATATACCTCCAAGAAATGTTTTAGGTCTTAGTATATTATATAGTCATATGAATGTGCGTTTAGATGCATAAATAAGTAAATGCATACATACATACACACACTCACACACACATATATATATATATAATTAAAGATTATATATATATATATAAAACTTATGGATAGATAATAGCGATTTACAATGACCTCTGCGACGTCACTACAAAGGTGGTTAGTAAGGAAAACTGTCCCCAAATGGCCGAACTTTTCATGTGGGTGAATCTTATAGTTTATACATATATACGGTATGTGTATATATATATATATCTATACATACATATTCATCCTTATTTTTCGTGCGTAGAATCTGGATCTTTCAAAGCATCCTCACTAAGACGGGTTTTTCTATGTTTAACACGCGCACGTATTATATATATATATATATTTAATGTGACAAACCCGATCCAAAAACAATCCCATCGTTGGCATACATGGGTGGTGTAAAGTAGTATAAACATGTATAAGCCATCTCCAAATGCTAGGTCTGTGGCCTTCCCACTTCCAGTGACCATTTGGTAATTTGTTACAGTTTGCTATTGAAAATGGCCCATAGAAATAGTTCAACCTATGAAAGATGGTGATTTTCCAATTCGATATGTTAGTTTACTAGAGGATATCTCCCCTACCATAATAGGTACCAGGTACATAAATCATCACGTTTATCATCTATAAAAGGGCAATTTTCCATAGCTTTTGTATGACCAGAGGGTGACAACCAGAGGGTTTACATGTCGCCTGGCAATTTGACGTCAGGGCCAAGCGCTGGGTGACAAAGCGAAAGGTGCGCTTTTCTTCCGCGAATGGCCGGGTGGAAGTGGAAGGGGCAGCAACGTTGGAGTAATGATACCCTCGGGTTATTGAAACTAGCTATGGAAAAATTGCCCGTTTACAGATGATAAACATTGACAAACATGATGATTGGACCTACTATGATATGGAAAATGGATGAACATTGCCCATTCATAATCATTCATAGATGATAATCATGATGATTTTACTATGATTTACCTAACTATGCAAAGGTTTATCATCTATAAAGCTTACTATCATAATAGTTATCATCTATGGATCTTTTTCTTTGTTTATTTAACAATGTTAACATAGCTATGGAAAATGACCCATTTATAGATGATAAGCAGATGATTTACCTTACCTATTATGATAGGGCCTCATATGTGAGATAGCCTCTGGTAAACATACAAAAAGCTATGGACAACCACCATGTTTAACAGGTAAATCATCTATAATTACATGGGCCATGGCCTGCATAGCTACTCCTATGTTAGTTTACTGCAGAGTATGGCAGGGAATGATGGAGACATATCTTGGGATGCTTCGTGGTATGAAGCTACTCAACTTGATATGATAGTTGGATGTGTCCGAAAATTCTAGATGGGTATACTATTTTCGTATAAACTCATATATGAAAATGTCATCAAACTTTATGATCTTCTTGTCTATTTGGAAGGGATTCATGAAATTGTCCTTTTGGAACCAATAGAACCCATGAATCATCCACTTCATGGGAATTCTTTGAGGTTTCTGAATTGCTAGGTCAGACTGATAGTCAGTAGGGTTATTCTATTGTGGCTTGGTCTGGCATGGATTCCCACTCAAAATCAAGTCGGGCTTCGATTCCTGGACCAGGGGTTTTTCACCCATGGGGTTCCTCCAGATTTTCTTTTTCCAAAACCAACCAAGGGACCCGAATCTACTGCAGGATGAAGAAGCGTTGGAGAGGTTTTTAGACAAACATGACTTTGATGACATCATCACAAGCCGAACATCGTCACGAGCCTTGTCCTCCTGTTTCCCGCTGCGGAGTCCTGTCGCTCAGCAAGATTTTGCAGCTAGTCGGGTACATCGGGAAGGGTTGATGGAAGTATGTGAGACTGCGTCAATGCCGAACTAGAAAAGAGGACCATTTGATTGCCAGCCCCAAAGTTCTCGGAATTTCTTCTTTTGAAAGTACCTATAGTTTAGCCATTTAGCCATGGTTTGCGACCGCTGGATCTCCGGAGCGTCCAATAAACCCTCGTAATTTGGGGTTGAAATGGTTGAAATGTGGAAAATCCAATGGAAATTGAAGGGTTTTTCCATGTTGATCATGGTTAATGTAAGCAACCCAATGCCACCTCCACTCTTAAAGGGGATGGTTTATAGATGTTTAATATTTTTAAATTGATGTTTATAATAAAAAATGCGTATGTATATATATATATATACATACATATACACGGTATATATATATATATACACCTCTTTATACCTCTTCATGGTGATGACTTGGGGGTGGTTTCGAATGTGGGTTCCAGGTTCCAATAGGTTCCGGGCTCCAGGGACCCAGCCTTTTTTTTATGGCCAGGAACTGCTGTTCCCCATTCACGTGGCAGCCAAGGAGCCCCGGAAATCATGTGGAAAAAAGGGTAGAGAGAGAGAGATGGTTAACCTTGGCTGCTGACACTCCTGTCTACCCTGGTGGAGCGGTTGTTTTTCACTCGCCCTTAGCTTAGCTGAACTCTTTGAGAAGGCGATGGAGATAGAAATGCTGGTTAATGCATCAGTTACGAAAACTTGGGGATTGGTGAAAATTGAGGAGCCAAAAACTCAGGGGGTGATAGATTTTGGATGATTTTGGATTGTTTATAAACTGTTGGCATACCCGATAAGGTACCCAATTTTGGCACGTTTGGCCCACATCACCCATATCCACATGGATAAATATCTCCCTGGTTCTAGATTGATATTGTCTTGGAGGAATAGATGAGATATCCTGATGATATCCTGCATCTTAGAGGATGGGAACAGGACAGGAGTTCCATTCGCTATAGGGTCTCCAAGGTTTATTTGCCAAAATAAGTGCCCAACAGAAACTAATTAGTCAGCGAAAGTGAGAAAGGCAAAACCAACAACCAACATTGGGCAAAACCAACAACCAACATTGGAACGTTTTAATTGTTTCTACCCCAACGATCCCCAACGTAGGTGAAGACAAACTATGACAAAATAGCAACAAACAAACGGATGCTTTGCAGCGGGGTTCAAACAGTTTGAAACGCAGGCGAGTTGGTGACTGACGAATCCTCGAAAAAGGTCTACAGTATTCCAGGGGAATCTCGGGTATAGGTGAGTTTGGAAAAAATGATTCGGGGGTAGCAACATATTTTGGGTGATCTACAAAAAGGCCTCAATCATTGTTTTGATTTGCAGATTCAGACTATGATTTCAGATGATTTCAGGGTTTGCGGTTTCAGATGATTTTTCTCCGTAAACTCTTCATGCCAGTTGATTGACTCCTGCCAGGAAGGAAATCGCCGAGTTGTGCGCATATTGCTGCAACGAAAGGCTCTTCAAAGTGGGAACCATTCGAAAACGGGCTGGTCGGCTGGTCTTTCTATTGAGAAAAAGGGGCCGAAACATGCCGCAACATGTTGGAACATGTTGGATTAGCGGTCACTTACCAAGAGGCTGAGATAGGGCGGGATGCGCTACAAGATCTTTTTGAATATTTTTGAGACGAGGAACATCCAATCCATTGGATCACCGGGGGGTACGTCTTGATCCAGGTGGATCCCCAACAGCGAAGCTCCCATGGACGAAGCCCTTTGGAGGTCGTCCAGGCCGGGGGTTGGCGGTCGCAGCCATGGTATAGATGGTCCATTTATAGATGGTTTACCGTTCTTAAAAATGGGTGGATTTTCCATGGCTATGTTAAATAACCAGATGGTATATGTAAATTATAAAGCCTTTCATAAATATTTATAATCATGATAATATATGATAATCATGTGCAATGAATCCCATTCATGATGGTGGGATGGCCATATACCCTGTAACTTGACCATTTTTCTGGGCGCAACAGCTGCCCCAGGGTGATTTCAAGCTTCTGCATGGGGATGTTAGGGTCAAGGGATTTGTGACTGGTAGGTCAATGTACAGCAAACTAGTTGCCGGACTGGTATATATTATATGATCTCACATGCCATGAATCTAGTACAAACTAAAAGAAGAGTCAGCCAGATTCAGCAGCCCTGAATCCAGCCACTGGTCCTCAAAAAACTGGACCTGTAATCATGCAATCTAATATCATGTTAGATATACCTGCGGGGGTCTCCGCCGCAGGCTGCCTCCAAAAGCAAAGCACTGCCACATCATTTGGACATCATCCAGTTGCTCGAAAACCAAGTTCAATTTTTCACTGTGCGCGAGCTGAGGGATCGAGTTGGATCGTGTTTCATTGACAGTGCTTGAAACAAACAACTGAACATAGAAAAAACCATCGCAGCGGGTCCGATTTGGCTCTCTGAAAGCGGGATGCCACCAGAAGTCACCAGCCAGAGTGGCTGCCATGGCTTCAAGAAAGGCTAATAGCAACATGAGGGTGGCTCAAAAATATCAATCCCATTCAATCCCCAAAAATGCATGGACACATGCACACATTGCCAAATTTGGCAGGTCGCTTGGTTCCACCTTTTTTGAGCCAAAGCCCGATTGCTTGCACCAACGCCAATAGTTTTAATTTGTTTGGGCTATGGATGGGTGACCAGTTGCTGGAGGCTCGTTTTTTTCAACAATGGTTGTCATCATGAATTCCATCCCGTCCCGAAGATGTGTGGTTATTCTATGTTATTCTGGGGGTGTTTGACATGAATGGGGGGTGAGTATGATGCGTCACATAGTTTTATAATATAATCATAGATGATAATAAATACTTTATTATACTGTTCTCACCCTCATATTTGGGGAGACATGTGACTTGTATTGACTTGTAACCTTCATTGTCACACCTGCACTTATGTATATGATCATGGATCACCACACCTAAACAATTGCACGCGTTTGGTAATTTGTGTGAGCGCGTGTGTCTAAAACGCACGCCCGTTTTCCGAGACTTTGTTCAAGGGAAACTAGAGGAAACCGCTTGGTAAACACCTGCAGCAACTGGACTCTTTGCAGTTTTCGCTTGGCAATTGCATCAGCTGCCCTCCAAAGATGAAAGCATGGGCCATGCGTTCTGTGGAACTTGCACCTCGGTTAAGCCATCTTTGGGGGATGCAGAGGAAATTCTCATGAAGGGATTCGCAGAAATTGCCTGGTGTAGTTCGCGTTGCTGGGCTCGGACCCACACTTGGAAACGCATGATTTCAAGCTTCTGCATGGGGATGTTAGGGTCAAGGGACTTGTGACTGGTAGGTCAATGTACAGCAAACTAGTTGCCGGACTGGTATATATTATATGATCTCACATGCCATGAATCTAGTACAAACTAAAAGAAGAGTCAGCCAGATTCAGCAGCCCTGAATCCAGCCACTGGTCCTCAAAAAACTGGACCTGTAATCATGCAATCTAATATCATGTTAGATATACCTGCGGGGGTCTCCGCCGCAGGCTGCCTCCAAAAGCAAAGCACTGCCACATCATTTGGACATCATCCAGTTGCTCGAAAACCAAGTTCAATTTTTCACTGTGCGCGAGCTGAGGGATCGAGTTGGATCGTGTTTCATTGACAGTGCTTGAAACAGACAACTGAACATAGGAAAAACCATCGCAGCGGGTCCGATTTGGCTCTCTGAAAGGGGGATGCCAGAAGTCACCAGCCAGCGTGGCTGCCATGGCTTCAAGAAAGGCTAATAGCAACATGAGGGTGGCTCAAAAATATCAGTCCCATTCAATCTCCAAAAATGCATGGACACATGCACACATTGCCAAATTTGGCAGGTCGCTTGGTTCCACCTTTTTTGAGCCAAAGCCCGATTGCTTGCACCAACGCCAATAGTTTTAATTTTTTTGGGCTATGGATGGGTGACCAGTTGCTGGAGGCTCGTTTTTTTCAACAATGGTTGTCATCATGAATGCCATCCCGTCCCGAAGATGTGTGGTTATTCTATGTTATTCTGGGGGTGTTTGACATGAATGGGGGATGAGTATGATGCGTCACATAGTTTTATAATATAATCATAGATGATAATAAATACTTTATTATACTGTTCTCACCCTCATATTTGGGGAGACATGTGACTTGTATTGACTTGTAACCTTCATTGTCACACCTGCACTTATGTATATGATCATGGATCACCACACCTATACAATTGCACGCGTTTGGTAATTTGTGTGAGCGCGTGTGTCTAAAACGCACGCCCGTTTTCCGAGACTCCGTTCAAGGGAAACTAGAGGAAACCGCTTGGTAAACACCTGCAGCAACTGGACTCTTTGCAGTTTTCGCTTGGCAATTACATCAGCTGCCCTCCAAAGATGAAAGCATGGGCCATGCGTTCTGTGGAACTTGCACCTCGGTTAAGCCATCTTTGGGGGATGCAGAGGAAATTCCCATGAAGGGATTCGCAGGAATTGCCTGGTGCGTCGAGCGCCCAAGCAATAGTGTGACACCACTGGCCAGGTCCTGAGACAATGCCGTGCCGGCCATGCCACAGAAATTGCAACTCAATGAGACTCCACATTAGTTACTACATAATCAAAATAGATTCACCACAGTCTCCTTTGGATTTGGGGCTGTTTATTGGTAGAGATACTGGTCATGACAGAACCGATTCTGACAATGTTGCGAGGTAATTTTTCCATCACAGTGAAGAGTGAATCCAGTAATTTAGTCGGGCTATGTCGGGCCAACATATCCATTGATAGATGAGGTCCCTGTTGAACAAATGGATTTGTTGCCACAGCTTATCACCAGATACCTTTCATAGGCAGCCTTAGATCCTCTACTGAAAAGGTCGCTGTGTTTTCGGCTTGGTAAACACATTTTCCCATTGACTGCATGTAGTCAACCAGCTTTTTCATGCTTGGCTATTGGATGAATGTGCAGGGCATTCCCCGCTCGTGGTGCTGCATCGGTTCTTTGAAGCCATGTTTACGATTCGCCTTCGTGCCCGGCTTCCAGGAAGATTACTGCCGGTCGGACAATGGCGACAATGGGAAGGAGCAATGATGTGGTTATAAGTTTAAAATGTTTAGATTACAAGTGAGTGACTGGAATCAGGTTCCAATACAATCAAGTGGATCCACGATATGAATACATGGTCCTCCGATTACACAGCGGAAAAACATGTAGAGGCTAGAGGTGGTTTTGGTTCTTAAGAGATCGTTACAACATGTTACAACATATTACGACACTTAACTTTGTCCTGTGAAATCTGCCTTGTTTATAGGGATCTTTCTGTGACCTTTGTAAAAATCGCATCGCTCATTTGAGTAGTGGGTCCTTCGTCCGGACCAGGTCACGGTCCGAACTGCCGTGACCTGGTTGTCATAGCTATACAATCCAATCCAAAGCTGTGGTGAGTTCGATGAAAATTCAGGAGCAAACCGTTTGGATACCATTCTACAATATTCTACAGAACAGATGCTAACAGTAGTTGCTAGAGTCTTAACTAGTCAGACCGCTAACATCAAGAGGAAGCCAGCCATTGCTGCTGGTACATCTCGTAGCGAGCGCATGCGAGCGCACCCAATTACTTGGTGGTTGAAATTGGGCGCGGCCCATGAAAACGGCGAAAACTTGAAAACCTGTTTCGCCAGGCTTCCCTCCACTTCCCCTCCCCTGCGGCCCGTGCGCAGCTTGCGGAGCACTGGAGAATCTATTGCAGACCCCCTGCTTGGTACGTCTAGCGCCAGCAGTCGTGGGTAAATTCGATGGCAGCCTGAGGCTTCGGCAGCCAAAGGATTGAGAAATTTTGAAAAGGTTGACAGTCAATTGGATTCAATTGGCACAATTGGGCACAATCCCATCCTTTAAATTATTTTATGAGTATTATTATTTAATGAATATTGAGACCCTTCTAAATTTTAAGACCCCAGAATGAATTCACGAATATTAATGACTAGTTTCAGTTTAAGGCTGGGAACATTACGCAGCAGCCAAAGAAATGCAATATGACCCGCCAAGTATCCCCACATTCCACCACATCCCCCCAAGGTTTCCTAGATATGCGTGTTTATGCGTGAGACCCTTGTGAATGGCTTCCAGTAATCCAACCCTCTTGCTGTAGAATCGCCTGTTTGTATTGGCTTGATAGATGATGAATGTCTTATGATGTTCCCACTTGAACAACGTTGGATTGGTCATTGCCAAAGTTCAATTGCCGGGGGCACTCCTTTGCGTTGCTAGCCTTAGATTCACCGCGGCAAAAAAAATCCGGCTGGGATTTCCATACATCACATATAAATCCATGGACAGCCAAGAATCAACCAGTTTTTTCATGCCTGGTTCTTGGATAAATCATTGGAGAGATCAAAAGTGTCATTCCCCAATGATTTACTGTTATGTTCATATATTTCCCATTGTTTTCTCTCTTCATATTCTCAATATCCAATTGCTTGCTTCTTGAATCTGACAAATCCCATGGGAATTCCATGATTCAAAAAATACGTGGAATTCTGTGCCGTGGGCGTACCCAAAAAGGATCGCAGTTTCGTCATGTTTTGCTCAGCCTCTCAGCGAGGTTTCTCGGTCACCAAAGCGATGATGGATTACAGGTAGCGAAGAACAAGCTCATAAGACCATCATGATATTATATACCGTATATATATATATATGACCTATCATCAACTTTCACCAAACCTTAGATGACATCAAAAACAGCACCAATGATGACTATCTTCAGCTTTGTGCTTTGAGATATGATCTATGGTTCTTTGATGCCAAGGTTTTGTGGTTGTGGTTTTGTGACCAGCAACGTATACTTTCAGTGGTCCTCGACTCTGATGACTTCGAACGGCCGGGGCAGGACCCAGCTTGCTGATTTTGTTTCTAACGTGTTCTGTATCAAATCTATTTGAACATCAGCAGGAACATGTTTGAACAAGGAGAGGTTTCGAAATCGAAGACTTGCTACCCATTCTTGCTCTCTACCTTCCAGATCGGAATGGGGCAATTTATCCCAAAACATGTGTCCAAATGCTCAAGAATGATCGTGACCAATTTCTTGATAGGGTAAGTTTTCAGAATCACCTGACAATTGCTGTAAACCGAAAAATAAAATTCATTAACCTGAGTGCCATTTTCATTCATTTTCGGGATGGCTTATAACCTTGAAATCTTTTAATTCCACTATGATCCACTATTTCTATTTATTTCTGGTGATATTGGGAATGGTTATGGATGGTTCATTATTGTACCATAAACATCCAAGCATTGCTTGTGTCAGCTGAGAGCTTCAAATGGGCGAACCTGGGCAACGCTTTTTTTCGCGGATGGATCCGCATGGCCATGACGGCCTTTTTCATGGAAC